ATTAGTTGAAGAGACTGAGAGTGTTTAACCTAGAGAAGAAAAGACACAGGGGAAGCCTTATAGCTGTTGTTAAATGCCTGAAAAGCAGTGATGTGGAAAAAGTTTGACCCCAGAAGGCTGGCCTAGAAAAGATGGCTAGAAATCGTAAAGAGGCAAATTGAAGCTTGGTATTCAGAAAAAAGTTCCTAACAATTAGATCTATTCAAAATGGGAAGAGATTGCCATAAGGGGTAGTGGGTTCTCCCCTCCTTGGAGGTCTTCAAGTGAAGGCTGGATGACCACTTGGCAGCTATATCATAAAAGGATTTTATGGACTACAGGCAGACCTTGGAGATATTGTAGGTTCAGTTCCAGACCACTGCTGTAAAGCAAATATTGCAATAAAGTGAGTCTTAAATGAATTTTTTAGTTTCCCAGTGCATATAAAAGTTAAATTTACACTATACTGTAGTCTATTAAGTGTGCAATAGTATTATGTAAAAAAAAAAAGTAGTGTACATACCTTAATTTAAAAATGCTTTCTTGATAAAAAAAAAAGAATGCTAACCATTATCTGAGCCTTCAGCAAGTCATTATCTTTTTTGCTAGTGGATGGTCTTGCTTCAGTCTGATAGCTGCTGATTAATCAGAGTGGTCAGTTGCTGAAGTTTGGGGTGGCAGTGGCAATTTCTTGAAATAAGGTAATGAAAGTTTGATCCATTGATTGATTCTTCCTTTCGCTTGAACATTAAGAGGCCATTGTAGGTTATTAATTAGCCAACTTCAATATTTTTGTGTCTCAGGGAGTAGGCAGGCCTGAGGAGAGGGAGAGAGATGGGGAACAGCTAGTTGGTATAACAGTCAGAACACACACAACACTTATTGATTAGGTTTGCCATCATATATGGGCATGATTTGTGGTGTCCCAAAACAATTGCAATAGTGACATCAAAGATCACCTATTACAAATCACCACAACAGATATAGCAATAATGAAAAAGTATGAAATATTGCAAAAATTACCAAAATGTGACACAGAGACACAAAGTGAACACATGCTATTGGAAAAATGGCACCGATAGACTTGCTCAATACAGGTTTGCCCCGAATCTTCAATTTGTAAAAAACATATTATCTGTGAAGCATAGTAAAGTGAAGCACAATAAAATGAGATAAGCTTGTACAGATTGGACCAATCAGTAGTTTTTGAAATTTTTTTGTGTCATGGACCCCTTTAGTAGTCTGGTGATATCTATGGACCCCTTTTCAGAATAATATTTTAAAATAATTGAAGGAAATGCTAAATTTCAGTTAGAGGTTAGTGAAAATATAGATGTAATTTTTTCCCATCAAAATTTCTATCATTATTCCCCTGAAATCTACCGATGGACCCCTCAGGTGTCTGTGAGCCCAAGGTCAAGAAGTACTGCCCTTTCAGATCCTAAGTTCCTGTTTAAGTATGTATTATAATAAATGGCTTCTGAGGTAATGTTCAGATCTGAGAGTTCATGATTTATGAATGAATGTGCTGCCTGCAAAAAAAAATGTTTAATGCCAAAAAGAGACACTTTGGGTTTGTCTCCAAAGAAAGCAAGTTGTCTAACATTAGGCAGATTTATTGATTTGAAAATTTTTAATGCTCAAATGGATCTGTGATATCATGGACTAGATATACCTCCAGTGATGCAAATTGCAACCCACCTCTGCCCACCCATCTCACTGTTTGTGGAATCTTGAGATAAAAAAGAAAAACTTAACACACCTCATTGAGGATCATACAAATTACATTTTTCAAATCCCCATTTTAGCAAACTACTGTAACCTGATTTATACATGAATATTTCCCATAATTGAACTGAAATATATTCTCCCGTAACTTCCCCCTGCCTAGTTCTGACACTCTTACTAGCTCCTCTTCTAGCTTGGTAAAGATGAGATGTATTGGATTGTAACTTAGAAGCTTAGAGCACAAGATTTTGAATACAGAGGTATAGAATAGGTTAGTACAAGGTCTTTGGAACAAAAGTAGGAAGTCTTGTGGTTTCAGTTCCTCATTACCCATTGAGCTATGGGTAGTCCTCAGGCACATCAATCCTTCTTGCTCCCCATTTTAAGTTTCTTTTTCTGCAAAAAGCAAAGAGATCACTCTTGTTCCCTTCCTATTTCATTGGGATATTGTGAGGACATGTGTTAACGAACTTTGCAAACAACAAAATATGTAAAAACAATCAATTTTTGTTTTTTCACATAAAGTTTATTCAAATGTTTGTGAGAAAAGTCTAGATTAGAAAAAAAACCTGCAAAGATACAAAGGTTAAAAAAAATTAGAGGGAGGAAGGGGAAACATTTATAAGTGATATTCAAGATCTTAGGAATCCTTATCTTCCTTCAAAGCTTATCTCAGGTGTCACCACCTCCTGCTAAGCCTTTTCTGACCCATTTCCCTGATTGCTAATGCTCTGGCTCCTCAAATTACCTTGTATTTACTTGTTGGTTTATTTTTGGTCTCTGCCAGTCCAATTCAGGCTTCTTGAGGCCAGAGATTATTCTGGTTTAGGATTTGTATCCCTAGTGCTGGCTAGCATCGTGCCTTGCACATCGTAGGTAGCTATTTCTAAATGTTGAATTGAATTAACTGACCACTGCCTACTTTGTTGTTTAGAATCTATAGCAGGAGCTCAATAGATATTTGTTGAAGTTGAAGAGTTAGAAGACTTCATATGTTAATGATAGAACATGATTGGCAGTGGTGGGGTGGGGGGACAGGGGCCAGGAGTAGGGATAGAGAACAGAAGAAGCATCAGTAAATGAATGACCACCTATTTCTTGTGGAATTACAAGACGACAAGAAGCAGGTTGTGAAATCTACATGTGAATGTGAGGAGGATGTGAGTAAACAAAGAAAGAGAGTACTCGTTAAAACACACACACACACACACACACACACACACACACACACAACATTACCATATTCTTGATATCATATTCTCAATGATTGGGGCCAAAGGGAAAAGAGAAGGAAAATCTGTGCTACAATATCTCAAAAATTAGCAGGACAATTACATGTGAATCTAAGAATGAATCATCCATGGGCTAGTGGCAGAAAGTAATTCTATGGTCCTGACATATATAGATATATGTACATATCCATATATGTGTGTATATATACACACATATACACACACACACACATACACACACACACATATGCCATTACAGCATTTCAAATCTTTGATTTAAAATAATCTGTATACAGGAACCTCTCTGTGAGATACAAAATTAATCAGTACAACATATAGCAGTTGTTTTTTTCTCCTTCCCCCAAAAACCAGTTGCAAGTGTTGCATCCTCTCCTACTTTTTATTTCCAGTGCCACCATGTGTATTTCCTCTTCTTTGGACTTGGCAATAACTTCTTAATTCATCTCCCTGCTTTTCCTCCCAGTTTTTCTTCCCCTCTAATTCATTATTCAATTCAAATTAATATCCAGAGAACACCCTACCACTAGTATAGATTCAAGAGTGGCAATCAGCCTATTAGAAAAGAAACCATGCCTAGCTCCTGGAAACCAATATATCTCCTCTGCTTTATACACTTTCCTACAGGGCGGGTAGCCAAAGATAAGGAGAAATGAGTGACCACCAACCAAAGCCACTTTAAAGACATATTCATTTGCTAGAGATAATCTTGGGCCCTCTTTTCCCCCTCCCCCACATTTTTTAAAAGTCCTAGTCAGGGGAGCTGATAGATATGTAGTATTAACTATTATATTGGTCAGCAAATATTGTTCGTTTCCCCAAAATTGTTTCAACTATTTCAGCAATAAAATATTTGCAAGCATAGTTAGTTTATAGAAAGAGAGAATACATTAAATACAAACAGATTTTTTTCACATTTTTTTCTTTTTGTAATTTGGAATCAGCATTATTTTGTTTACCTCCAAATTCCCTTATATGCTACCCAGGAAAATCTAGAGTCTCTTAGTTATTAACTAGCTTGTTTCTATAATCAGAATCACTGCCAATTATATCTGTGTAAATCCCAGTACTCAGGCAATATGAAAGGGCCCTTTTGTTCAGGAAGCTTGTGCAGGAAGGACTTTCACTACAAGCTTTTCCTTTGAGAGCTGTCCAACTCTCTGTAAGGATTACCAGGTTATCTTTATGTTCTCAGTAATATTAACCCAAAGTAAAGTAAGACCTTTTAAAAATTATTTTTAAAATAGTTTTCATTATTTAGTTATGTAAGGGGGCAGTCAGGAAGAAACCATACTTTATTTCAAGTATTTTAGAAAACTCTAATCTTTAGGTACAACAACTTTGTAATGTTTCTGTTTAAAATTTATACAGCCAGTTTAGGTAGTAATAGAACATTTAATTCCTCAACCTTAATTGGATAAATATTATACTCATTTAATGATAATAGGCCACATTTATAAAAACACTTTGTGGTTTGTAAAACACTCCTCTTTGATGACTGTAATGATTTTGCTCACAGAACATTAACACTTAACTTATGAAAGTTAATTAACTAGAGTCCCTTATATCTTCCCTTACAAAACATAGTAAACTGAAAAACTCTTTTCAAATCATATTTAAAAAAAAGAATTTGTGATTTAACTATAATTCTGTTGTTAAGAGTCTTGTTGGAAAATACAGGGTGTCCCAAATGTCTTAATGTAGTTTTAAGCCTCAATAGCTTAGGATAATAGCTTTTAATAGTCTTTTTAAAGCTTTCATAGCTTAAAACTGCACTAAGACTTTTTAGATATCCTATATGTACCATTTGAAAGTTTTTCTTGAGAACTTCCTTGGGTTAAGTCTCTAAAATTTCAGACATAGGAGGATTTGCACAGAACCTGGAGAAGAAGCCATCTATATTTGAAAAAGAACTTTTCAAATGGTTGAAGAAGGACCAAAAAAGCCCCATAGAATATTAACTCAGAAAACAAAGCTGAATAGCTTCTTTTCTTGTGTGATGCTGTCTTAGCTACTAACCTAATAGTTTCCTTTTTCTTATAGGTACCAGAGATTTGAAAAGGCCTTTCTCCTAGCTGTTGATATTGGTGCTCGGGACCTGTTTATGGTGAGTCATTGCTAGAGACAAGTGTGTGTCTTCAACTCTCAGGCTGAGTTAGTTGTCAGCTTTTGTGGCCATTACAAAGGATTAGTGTCATTTGCAGCCTTAGACACGTGGTGGGAAAAGCATTATTCTTCTTGGCTTGTACCTTTGCCATCATGAAACTGGTCAATAGCTATCTAGTTATCTCTTGACTTGTTGACATTTTTCTTACCATGGCCAGAGGGCTGTTTAATGTTTTTTAGGAATTAATTTATAGTCCTTGAACTTTTCTCCTCATGTGCCTCGATGTGGGTAGGTGACACCTTTCTATCTAATAAGCTTAACTGTTTCTAAATCCATTCCCTTAAGACTTACAGTTGCAGAGGCCAAGACACACATGCAGACCATGTCCTGGGGATCTTGAATTGCTCTTAGTTTGTTCCTTAGGTTTCGGTGAAAAGTGACAAATTATGAAAGCTTCCAGAAGTACTTTTAGTCACAAAGCTGCAAGGTAGACCCATGGGACTTTTGATTTCCTGCACTCACTGGACCTCCCATTTAATTAGCTACAGAAGTAAAATTAACCAGCTCTTTTAAAGGTTCTATGTTCAGGCTCCACATGGGGCTCTTGTTTTATTAGCCCTTGCACCACAATGTCACAGTGAGGTCAGAGGGACAAAGACAACTGCTTTCCTAATTTCACAGCATGTTGCTGCTCTGTAGCCCATTTCATTGTTTTCAAAGAAACAATAAGGAAAAGCTCATTTAAAAAAAAAGAAAAAAAACATATGATAAGCCCTTTTGTTTGGTTCTTTTGCATAGTGAAGACATCCTATGGTTTAAATTAAGCTTTTGACATTAAATGTTACTATCAGATTATCTCATTGTCACTTTCCTCCAGTGCAATCTTAGTATTTAAATTCTAAGGTTTTTTTTCCAGTTATGAAAAATTCCTTTATGATTACATGAAATTTTTTACCTTCTGATATTTGTTTTATAGTTTTAAATAATCTGTTTCTGTTACATCCAATTAATTCCATATAAACTTTTCAAATACTGTACCTAAAAACTGTAATTTAAAATAGCCACATTTTAGGAAATTTAATGTATACAATCTTGAACTTCTTTATTTTCCCCTATTGCAAAGATTTTTTTTTCATCTTTTCTATTTTTAAATATAACCTTATCACTAGCCACCTCCATAACAGGAAAATAAAAGTAAAAGTACTTACTTAGTTGTTTGGTGTCTAGTGGTTAAAAATTACTCAGCCTCACAATTAGTATGGTTTTCCCCCCCTAGATACTGAATTTTTAAATTACTGGTGTTTACTCTGGTTACTGGATAGTATAATATATCAAAGTTGATTGCCAAACTTCTCTCAGACCATATCTATTTTATCTTGAAGTTTTTTCTGAGCCTGCTTTTCTCCATTGGTGTGTTCAGTCATTATTATTAGCATCCAGTGGTGACAATATTATTAATGAGAAGTCATTGAAGATTGTAACATTCTTTTTTAGAGAAGTTTTAAATGTTATTTCAAATCTCCTTTTCCTGGCACATATCAACCCAAGTATAATAACAACTAAAATACTTTAAAATTAATTGTGATACTTTAATAATAAAATCGTGTTCACTTTAGAATTGGTTTTGTTCTTTAGTCTATTGTATATGCTGAAAGTATAAGAAAATAAAAGCAACTCAAACAGTCCAAGGCATGAGGAGAGACTCTCTCTTGTGTCTTTGTCCCCTTCATAGACAAAACAGTCTTCTCAAAGGCTGATTGGACTCTTCTCTGCAGGGCACTCCTCCCATTAAAACATGTGGGTCACCTTAAATAGGTAATTAAATAGCTTCAATTTCTTTTTTGTTTTTAAAAAGTCAACAAGATTTTTACCCTCATGTAGCAGAAAGTCCCCCCATAGTTCATTGTATGAAATTTTAATTACTCATTTCAGAGGCTGCCTTATAGAAGGTGTCCAAAAGCATACTCAGTCTTTAAATGAAAATTCTAAGCACCTAAGCGTTTATATAGAGCACTTAATATGTTGTTTTCCATGTTAAAAATCTTCTACATAAAGATTTCATCATTTCTTATTGAGGTTAAATTACTGTGATTGTTTCACTTACATATGACAATGTAAGACATCAGTAAACTACTTATTGAGAATTGGTGCGTCTTCTAAATCTAAACACGTACAGATATAAAGAGGGTTAGGGATCCAAGTAGCTTGTCTGTTAGGTATGATTTGAATGACCAAGAGGCTCTCTAACCTAAAAATATCTCCCTTAATGGTTTGAATATGCCACCTATAAGATTGCAAAGAGCTACATGAAAAGGATATTACCTCCAAAAGGTCACAGTTGAAATGTACTTTATTACCTAGAATCAGCCCCGCTGGTGTTGGTACCTATTGATGATAATAAGGTACAGTACAGGTAAGTTTCTTGAAGGGTTGGGGGTGAGGGAAAGAATTGAGACATAACAATAATTAGCCCTGAATAGTTGTTTTAGGTCACTGGATTGCTGGAAGTAGGATGATTATTAATTTGGGAGGGTGGAGGTGGATGTGAGGATAAGAAAGAGAACACGAGGAAGGGTAATGGAGATAGTATTTGCCTGTTTCACAGTTTTGCCTAACATTGACTCCGAATATAAACTTATATTATTATTAATAATATTAATATCTAGACTTCTCAAATGTCTCAGTATATGCCTTCCTTTGTTAGTAATTGGGAGCAGAACTTGAAAGGCATAAAATAATATATTAAAGATTTCCAGTCATGTACCAATAACATTTCTTCACCAGAATGTATTGATGCCACAGCCCATAACAGTAAAGAGAGAAAGAAAAATAAAATATTTACATATACATAACATTTTGTGGATAAATAACTTGGGGAGTAATGTGGTAACATCATTGAGGAAGAGCTAGAGAGAGTAATAAAGATGGGGAGGGTGAGAATGAGAGAGGTCAAGTGAAACAGTCAGCTCTTCTGATTGATATTAATCCCAGAAAATTGGAATTTTCCCCGACCGTAGGATAGTGCTGGAAAAAAGAAAAACAGATTGAGTCAAGTTATTACTGTTTGCTCCCAGTGGAAATCTATACTTCCCGTTTCTATAAGCACCATCTTTTAGCAATGAAGTTGTAAGGACCTTGCTCTTTATTTTTTGTTTGTTTTAAACTTAATAACCATCAACAGACAAATCATCAAATAAACATGCACGATAAGGAATTAAAACTCTGAACTTTTAACAAACTGGCCCAAACAAATTAAGAAAGAGCAAACAAGAAGTACTATGTTTCTCTTTTCAAATTGGTCTGAAGTTTTACTACCTTTATTTTTACATACCTAATTCATTTATACATAGCTTTATATATAATTCAATGCACATACAGTTCTGCTTCTGCTGATCATGCTTTTGTAATCTCTTCATATGGGTCATTCTGTGTATCTTTTCATTCATAATTACTGTTTATTCATAATTACATAATTAATAATTACTACATTATTGTACCCTAATATACTGCACCATTCTTTGATTGTTTTACATATTAGTTGATTTTATTTATTTATTTTTTGCTATGACTAAGTAAAAACTAGTAAATGAATGTTTTGCACAGCTTTGACTGTTTTTTGTAAAGTAGCTCCTTCCCCCCCATGGTGTTTTTAGCATAAAGCAATAGCAATGGAATCTCACAATCAAAATGTATAACTAGTTTTATGACTTCCTCTGTTTAGCCTCCAGAATGTTTATTCCAATCTACAATCCTTGTAAAAATATGTTATAGAGCATTTTTATAGAGCTGAAAGGGACCTAAGAGATACAAGCTTACAGGTTTTGAGCTGGCAGGGATCTTGAAGGCCCTCTAAGCCACATTTATTTTATTTTTAGTTTACTTTTTATTTTCAGTTCCAAATTTTCTCTCTCCCCCATCTTCCCTCTCCCTGCCCACCCATTTTGAGAAGGCAAGTGTTTTTAAAGAGAGCTGCTATAAACATTTTTGCACGTATGTGTCTTTTTCCTTTTTCTTTGATCTCTTTGGGATACAGAATTAGTAGTGGTATTGCTGGGTCAAAAGGTATGCACATTTTTATAGCCCTTTAAGCATAATTCCAAATTGTTCTCCAGAATGGTTGGATCAGTTCATAACTCCACTAATAGTGCATCAGTGTCCCTCTTTTTCCATATCCTCTCCAGCATTTGTCATTTTCCTTATCTGTCATCTTAGTCAATCTGATAGGTATGAGATGATACTTCAGAATTGTTTTAATTCACATTTACCTAATTATTAGTGATTTAGAGCATTTTATTGATGACTATTGATAGCTCTTATTTTTATAAATGTGGCTCAGTTCCCTATATATTTGAGAAATGAGGCTTTTAGCAGAGAAACTTGCCATAAAAATCTTTTCCCAATCTCCTGTTTTCCTTCTAGTTTTAGCTGCATTTAGTTTTGTTTTGTTCACGACCTTTTTAATTTCATGTGATCAAAATTATCCATTTTACTTCCTATGAATGTCTCTGTTTCTTGTTTGGTCATGAAATCTTCCCTTATCTATAGATATTGCAGATAAATTTTCCCATCCTCCCCTAACTTGCTTATAATTTTACCCTCTATGTCTAAATTATGCATCCATTTTGACTTTATCTTGTTATATTATGTGAGATGCTGGTTTATGCCTAATTTCTGCCAGGCTGTTTTCCAGTTTCCCCAGAAGTTTTGCTCAAATATCAAATTCTTCCCCAATAACTTCGATCTTTGGATTTATTGAACTCTAGGCTGCCTGTGGTCATTTACTTTTGTTTATTGCATGTCTAATCTATTCCGTTGGTCAACCACTCTGTTTCTTATCCGGGACCAGATTATTTTGATGATTGCCACTTTGTAATATAATTTGAGATCTGGTGCCACTAGTCCCTCTTCCTTCACATTATTTTCAATGATTCCCTTAATATTCTTGACCTTTTATTCCTTCAGTATTAACTTTGTTATTATTTTTTCTAGCTCTATAAAAT